TATTTAATGCGTTGGACATGTAAAAGATCAATTATCACTTGCGGAACTTTTTTATCTGCTTACGACGTTATGGGTTAAGCTATTGAATTTTTGTACAATCTTCTTAAATCATTGGTAAATTCTATCAATAATAATGAATTGATATCAAATACTTTGCGAAGAAAGAATGATTGTGGAAAGTGATTTAATATTGTAGGAATCTGAATGTATTTAAAATTATGCATTTTGAAAATTAATAAAACTATATTTTATAAAAGTGTGATATCATGATGTCAATTCTATAGTCTCGAAAGATATTACATCCTTGATAAAATCATAAGCAAAATAAACTTCCTAGCGAAGCACACACATAAATAAAGTAATCATAGATTAACTGTCGTTCATTGCACTCAAAGGTAAGAGGAATTAGTATTGATTTAATAAACCTAAGATATATTGTATGAAAATGATGTATATTTTATTAATCGTTGTGTTTTAACAATCATGCATTCAGTTTTAATGTCAACCCAAACATAAATCATTCGTAATAAAACCATCTCGTTAGAAGAAGTAGATAATCCAAGTTTATAGCTCGCAGACAATTAATGACCAGGAAGCCAACGAACCACACCAAAATGATGATTTCATCCCAGTTTTATTTTTTCATAAAATTGGACAATAATACAAATTAGAACGGGAATCAAAAAAGTGGAAATAAGCATTTCTATTTAGATTCAGGGAAAAGGAAAAGAATTGTGTGCTGTAAATTATTTCTTTAATTTCTGATTAAATGAACAAGAGGGAGGGTTAGAAATTAAAACATGTCTGGATATTTTTCTGCAGTACAGTGACAATTCTTTTTAAAAAGATGTTTTATATAAATGAATGAGAAGTAAATTTTATGGCTTGAACTGTTAAAAAAATTTATTTATTAATATTATTTTTAGCTCACCTGAGCCGAAGGCTCAAGTGAGCTTTTCTGATCAAAATTTGTCCGTTGTCTGTCGTAGTCGTTGTCGTTGTCGTCGTCGTTGTCGTCGTCGTTAACTTTTCACATTTTCATCTTCTTCTCAAGAACCACTGGGCCAATTTTAACCAAACTTGGCACAAAGTATCCTTGGGTGAAGGGGAATCAAGTTTGTTCAAATGAAGGGCCATGCCCTTTTCAAAGGGGAGATAATTATGAATTAGAGAAAAATTAATGGCATTTTTAAAAAATCTTGTTCTCAAGAACCACTGGGCCAGGAAAGGTGAAACTCATTTGGAATCATCCTCAGGTAGTGTAGATTCAATTTTGTTCAAATCATGACCCCCGGGGCAAGGGTGGGGCCAAAATGGCCGACCCAATTTTTACATAGGAATATATAGGAAAAATCTTTAAAAATCTTCTTCTCAAGAACCACTGGGCAAGGAAAGATGAAACTCATGTGGAATCATCCTCAGGTAGTGTTGATTCAAGTTTGTTCAAATCATGACCCCCGGGGGCAAGGGTGGGGCCAAAATGGCCGACCCAAGTTTTACATAGGAATATATAGGAAAAAATCTTTAAAAATCTTCTTCTCAAGAACCACTGGGCCAGGAAAGATGAAACTCATTTGGAATCATCCTCAGGTAGTGTAGATTCAAGTTTGTTCAAATCATGACCCCCGGGGCAAGGGTGGGGCCAAAATGGCCGACCCAAGTTTTACATAGGAATATATAGGAAAAATCTTTAAAAATCTTCTTCTCAAGAACCACTGGGCCAGGAAAGATGAAATTTATGTTGAATCATCCTCAGGTAGTGTAGATTCAAGTTTGTTCAAATCATGACCCCTGGGGCTAGGGTGGGGCTAAATCTTCTTTTCAAATACTTCAAAGTTATGATTAGTGTTATTTATATAGAATCATCCTCAGGTAGTGTAGATTCTATTTTGTTCAAATGATGAATGCTTTGGGGGGGGGGGGTAAATTCAAGCCTGATGTGCTCAGGTAAGCGCTGTGGCCCCTGGGCCTCTTGTTTTTTTAATGACTCCATCATGAAATCGTTATGGCGTAAAGTTTTTGTAACAGATAGACAGACCATGAGAAACACAGGGGGCAAAAAGGTATTTAAAAAAAAGAGAGATAAAGAAACTGCCTTAACTTTTGTAAAAATGTGTCAAATAACAAAATTCGTATTCAAGGGAAGATATCAAAGAGAAGATCCACACACGCACACAAACCAATAACAAAAAATAAATTTTGAAAACGATGAGTACTTATAAGAAAAATATTTTAATGACGCAAAAAAAAAAAGATCAGACTTCTGCTTAAGGTTTGTATACCACGACATAAGCTAAATGTAATAACCATATTCCCTAATTAATTAAATAATCAACATTATTTAAGAGTTTCTACTCCAAGGTGCCAGTTACAAAATAGAAGTTTGTGTCAATGTTTGAGAAATGTGTGTCTGATTGCTGAAAATAGAACAAGAAAATAATTCAGATAAAAATGATTTCCTTATACAGCACAAAACACCAGCTTATCAAATGTTAATGATCAAATTAACAGTTAAATCAAGGTGCTTTTAATGGCCCAGTTGGGCCGGCTCTTGTTACACAACAAGATAACAACATTAGCATCATGAAACATTGACAGTATACTGATCCGTATAGATTTTCAACTGTTTTCGTTGTGTATTTATTATTCTCTGAACAGTTCATCAATAGTTAATGAATGGGTTCTTTAGTTTTGTTCCCAGAAAATTGATTGGCATATTTATATAGGCATTTATCATGAGAAAGAGAGAGAAAAAAGTGAGGTTTTTTTGTTTGTGATGAAGTGAAACAAAGAGATGGGCAAAGTGTGGTAATGAGTCTCTCTGTAGTATAGCCTTTGTTTCTTGTTTGTTCAGCTTTTGTTGGGAATTTCCCATATCATCAAAACTTTGCGATTGACACTCAAATTCAATGCTTCACACATATTGGCATCAGGATCCAACTTTGTATTTACACTACAGCCAACTAAAAGTACCCCTAAGCTTTGGCGGCAGAAAATGTCACAGACAGTTTTAGAATTGTTTTCCTTTTTTTCTCTGTTGACATAATTCCCGCAATTATTCATGTCATTTAGAGACAAGACCAGGAAAAAAAAAATCTCAAATAGCCAATAGTGTTTTACGAGAGAGATGCGATAGAGAGGGTATTGAGAACTAATATAATGCTGAATCAGGTTATAGCAGTCACAGACACAGAGGCAGGGACACCACGGTTTATATATATGGATTATTGCTATACATATGGCACCTCGATTTAACAAAAGTCGGGAGACGGTGTGGATCTGTTATATAATAACAATCTCTTGTATACAGTGAGGAACAGACTCCAGATGATAAGGATTAATGTGATAAAAAGCATGAGGGATACTATTACTAGTTTATAAAAATCTATCCATATTGATGTTTTACATCAAATGCACAATATGTCAAATGGATATAATTATCTATCAATAATGTAGTGTTTAGATAGTACTGGTCACGTCCCCCTCATACATTTATTGACAGTTTACGATGAATTGATCTTTTGAGTGCTGACATTTTGTGTGGACGTTTTTCTCAAACTTGAAAAAATATCATTGGAGAAAAATATAATTTTTTACCTGGGAATTAAATCAGCAATCATGAAAACTTTTTTCCAAAAAATCCGAAGAAGCAAATCTCAACAAAGTGTGAAACGGAATCGAAATCCTATACTTGTGGTAAGTTTTAACAAGATTATTTAAAACCAAACTTGTTGTAACTTGTGGGATCAAGTAATTCGCACATGGTAAGTTTCCCCTAGAATTATTAGAAACTTTTCCTTGGGTAAGTCGTCGCCTGCATGGCGCAGTGGTCAGAGTGTCTGCTCTAGAGTTGCGGAGTAAGGAATAAATCCTTACGTCGGGGGTTCGAATCCCACTGTGGGATGTGGAGACCGGTCCGTCAGATGAGACCGTATAAAGCGAGGCCCTGAGTTGCAGTAGATGCTGGCACGAAAAAGATCCCTCACTGCTAAATGGTCCTGAGTGCTGAGTATAGGTCAAAATTTGTAGCTCTCCACCGGCAATGGTGGCGTTTCCACAAGAGTGAAAAATTTTCAAGAGTTACATTAAACAACATACAATCAATCAATCCTGGGGATAAGTCTCTAGATTATGCTATACAAGTGGTAATTTTTTTTCCTCAGTTGGAATATTTCCTATTTAATATGCAGTGTCCTGGTGTAAGTTTTAATTTGTTCATGTTATTTTACACTTAACTTCTTGCTAAGTGAAATATGGAGATAAGAAACTGTAATCAAGCTCAATTCAAAGTCCACTAAAAAAATGTGGAGCAGGTTAAGTATGCTAGACCTCTAAATCCATCAGAGGTGGGATCAGGTGCCATGGAGGAGTAAGCATCCCCTGTCACGTAGTCACACTGGATGTTTGTTTCTTGCTAATTAAATTTCAAATTTTTATTGTGATTTAATACACATATTTTACATTAGCTTTTGGGATATTTTGCCAAGGTTTGTGATAAATACAAGTGTGTACGTTTCAACATGAATTTTATCTCCCTCCTCTGGTAAGTTTTGATAGGTAAATTTTAATCTGTTCAGATGCAGGTTATTTTTAATATGTATTCTTTCATTATTGAACCAATTAAGTCTATAAGTGAAGGTTTTAAAATTGATTATTATTTAATAATTCCAAAAATAGCTAATACATCAATATTGTTATATCATAATATTTATAATCAATGCTTATGCAGTTAAGCCTCTTTAATAATTCAGAATCACAGTTTATGGTGATTGCATGTAGTTTTTTATGAATTTTTTTCTAATGTTTACTGAATCCATAGTATTAGTATATTAAGCAAAATGCAAAAATCTAATCAGTAATGTTTAAGAAATATCCATAAAGTAAAAATTATAAATCCACTCATTGCTATAGTAAATTGTCTGCAACTAAATATTTTTCAAACAGATTTGTTTTGTTTTTTTAAAATATGTTTGATAATCACCACATTTCCCCCTGTTTAGGCAAGAAGTCCTACAGAGTTGAACTTCAGCCTAGACTCCAACAAGGCTCAGAGGGAGCTAATATCCCAACTGGAGGCCAAAAACAGGTAAGAACACAGGGGCTTCTCTGTTTGTTGATTTAGAAGAATCAGCAGGGAAATTATGGCTATTGTTGATCAGACATGATGTAGAAACACTGGCTCTGTGATATTGTGTGTGAACTGTTGACCAGATCAAACAAGCCTATACTCCTTCAGTCACATTAGACCTTTGTGTAAACACAGCTGATTAGTAATGAAGATAGCATATTCCCAAAGAGTACAGTTTGATTATGTAAAATGTATGAATTTCCATCAGAGGTCATTGGTCACATGCTTAACATTATTTATTGTTATAGAATACACTGATATTTTTTTTATGAAAAATTATATTTCTAAGTAAACGTTTTATTTAAAAACGAAAAAGATATGCCCTAATAAAATCCAAAATTGTTTATAGACATAAAAGTATAACTGAGTCAGACCCCACATGTTCAAAAGTAAAATTTAGTAATATAAATTGATTATATTTGGTAAAATGAGCAGAAAACAAAACCTGTTCTACAAAACTAGGAGAAAGAACTCGTATTGTTTAAGTGCTACCTCTAAAATTATTTTAGTATTCTTTAAATAAAGAAATAAGTGTCACAGTAGAGCTGCAATCTTGTCAGAGACTTTTATTTACCAAGTACTTGTCAGAGACCTTTAGTTATAACCACTACCAGTAGGGCTACAATCTTGTGAGAGATCTTTCAATGGTTATAACTGCTGGTTTGGTGACTGCTATGTTGCAGATTCTGATATGAATTTTTACAGCAATTACTGTCATAAAACATATGATTTTGTTTGACAAGCTATCTGTAACTGTCACAGACCTAAGAGATTATTGACAGAGGGGGGTACCCTCCCTAGAGATTTCCCTGTCACAGGGCACCAAACCGGAAACTTACAACATCAGCTGAAGTTTGACCGCTATCAATTACATTAACAGCCCACTAATAAGTCAATTTGTCATCGAATTTGTATCCCAGAGGACTGGGTAAATATGAACTAGTGTTAAAGCAAGCTCCGACAACTAGATCTAGCATTCTCTATGGTTTTTGTGGACAACTTATTATCAAGAGCAAGAATGCCTTTGTTTGTAAGGCCTGCAAAACATAGCAGCCACATAGAGATCTTGATGTCTATTGTTTGTCTGTCAGTCTTTCTGGGAAAAATCTTCAACAAATCTTAATTTATACATGCAAATTTTTTAGAATCAAACTCAAATTATTTATTTTTCAGAATTTTCTTAAAACTATATGTGTTGGTGAAGTACTATAAAATTATCAAATAATTTTTTTTTTTAAATCAATTTTTGCTAATTTGAACATATACCAAGATTCAGACATCAATTATATATCTTTCAATTTATTCATACTATTTCTAAGCCTTAGCTGAATTAACATAAAAGAAATTAGACTTGCTACAGGTTGTTTATTAAGGAAAGGAATGGACAGACATGAAGCAAATAAAAGGAATCAGAATAAAGATGAGAAGAGATGTGCTTTATTGCAGACTAGCGACAATTTATGATTGGCTTAGACATAAGGCCATGGTACTTAACACCTTAGGAACTTGTATTTTTATTCGGAGAATGTCAAATAAATCCTGGGTCTTGAACTGATTTGTCATTTCCTAAAAAATTAATGTTCATAATGAATTCAGAAAGTCCAAATTACATAGCATATAATTGAGAAAGGGAGGTCACTGACCCTTATTATCTCCCCTACACAATTCCACATGAATAAAACCAATTGTGGAAATATCTACAAAATCCATAGCATTTTAGAATTATTTATGTAAGATAGTTAATTGTTGAATAAAATCAACAAAAAAAAATTTTGCGAGCTCTGGTTATTGTGATATATATTATCTATAACATTACAATAAACACAAATATTTGAAAGCAGACAGACTCTTGTCATTATGCAAAAATAAAGTTCATATGTGAATAAAAAGCAATTTACAGTACTTAGTTCATTTTACACGGCAGAATTTCACAGTAAAATCAAAGGTAGTTTTCAGCTCACTTGAGCCAAAGGGACAGACTTAGCAAAAATTCTCTAAGTTTTAGAAGTTCTTAAATATATTCAGAACTTTTCAAATGCCCATATTGTCTCTCTGAAATTCAAATACTGGGTAATATTTGCCTTTTGGAGATTACAAGAACTATGTGCACTTGGCCAATTTCAATGAAACTTGACATAGAGCATCATTTTGGAATGTTGATTACAAATATGTCCAATTTAAGGACAATGTTCTCTTCTAGAAGACAATGAAGTTGTAGGTTCATTAGAAATGTATAATTACATGTACTATAAACAATGTGCCTGACATAAGATCCACACTAAAATAAACTATGTATTTTGATCAGGGAGATTATGAGAGAAATCCACAGGCTTCGATCAGAGCAAGAGGCTCATGCACGGAGTACAGAAAGTGCCCAGTATAACCCAACGTTACTGGCAGAATTACGACAGCTCAGGCAGCGTAAAGATGAGCTGGAGTCCAGAATGTCGGCCTTACAGGACAGTCGTAAAGAACTGATGGTACAGCTGGAGGGGCTGATGAAACTGCTGAAGGTATGGGGGAACATTGGTTAAATCTGTAACTGTGTTGAGGGGGAAGCCCTCAATGCAGTTAGGATATGTCCCATGTATCTGCAAAGTAGCAAAACAATAAATCCACTCCAGTTGATTTTGAAGAATAGGAATTAAAGGAGTTGCACTCAATCACTTAAGTAAACTTAAGTAATAATAACAGGCCTTTTTGATCTTTTTAAGCTTTTTGTATATTCATTCTACCATTAAGAAAAATAATCTACATAAAGATATCTTAATATATATCCTTGCTCTTAATTGATTTAATTGATAATCCATGTTGAGTTCAGAATTCTTCTTAGTTAAGCATAGAATAGAATTTTTTTGCCTTGTTTATTTTGCCAACAAGTGAAACGAATTCTATGATTATACAGGGTCTGTAGCACAGTATTATTTAAATGATGGAATGTTCCCTATGATTGAACATCATAGGGGGTGGGGGTGGGATGAAAGTGCAGTTAACTCAGTAAAAGACTGTTACAGTATAAGAATTTTCAGCAAGGGTTGAATTTTGGCATTATTAATGATTTTAAATTTACATCTCTCTAAATATGAAATGCTAGTTTTTAAGGACAATTTGCTAAATTAATTTGCACCTCTCTAAAATTTCCACTTATACATATGTTAATATGATCCATTGGATTACTGTACACTGATTTAATTAGCTTCAGTATTCTACAATCGTTTGTCACTTTTTTCCCCTCTTATATTTCTCTTTGGATTTGAACATTTGCTGTAAAAATATATACGAAATATATATATGAATTCTCAGCAATTAAAAAAATCTAGCCACTTCCTAGTCCTTACAAGACCCCATAAGATTAGTCACACACACAGAGGAGAGCTGATTTATAGTATTAAAGCAGAATGAATTCTTGTTAAAGGGGAAGCGGGCTGAAGCTAAACATCAATCAGAGAGCAAGCTAGGCCTCAGTATACATCAGTATGGGATAGTTAGCAGAAATAAGGTGTTTCATTAGATAGATTTCAGTAGCGACTGTTATAGATGATAGTGTTAGGGTCCCCTGAGTGATGATACTTCCTTAAGGTCCTGACTCCTGAGTGATGATACCACCTTAAGGTTTGGCAGTGTTAATGGTGTTCACAGGAACAAATGTTAGGCTTCTCAATGAACTCCATCTACATCAACAATCCTTTGGTTTCTGAAATTTAAAAATAAATATTCTACTACATTCATACTTTTGACATGTACAAGCTAACATATCAATAAATATGTTTCCACAAATATCATGTTACATTTGTATTGAATTTTTTCTATTGTCATGGTGTATATTTTTGATTGATGTATAGTGAATTTAATTATTTATAAGGTTTAATTTCTTTTCAAATACCGGTAGGAAATAGGGAATTTCATTTTTGAAAGGAAATTTTCCTTTTTCACAATCGATTAGGTTTGATTAATTATGGAGGAACAGACTTTATTTTATGCTATCAAGATGAAGTGACTAGTCATATTTAGAAATTTTCAAAGAGCTACAGTATTGATTTCAAATACTGAAATATAAAGATTGTATTTTTGATGTCCTTATGAAGTTAACAGTTTTATTTTGAATATACAAATATGAATAAGTAACTTTTGAGATTAAAGGCAAATTTTCAAATCAGATTGAAACAAAAAAGAATTATATCATTCAGATGAATCCTATTGGTCAATTAAAAATGTCAAAATTTGGAGGTGAATTGTTTCACCTGAATTCAAAACTGGAATTTTTTTAATTGTAATTTCAGACACACCCCACCTCCCCTCGAGCTGTCCCCACTGAGAGCACCAGCAACCCCCACCATCAGAACCTCTCACAGTCCCTCCCAGACAGGTACCCTGCCCCCAATATCCCCACCACACCCGCCATGGAGTCCTCCATGCTAGCGGGGGTAGGGGGCGAGGTGCGGCAGGCGTTCTATAATCCCGGCCCAGTGGAAAACGTTCGGCTGATCCGGAATGACCTCATGTGTGCTGCTGATTCTGTCACCAGTGCCATGTCTTCACTCGTCAAAGAACTCAACTCAGGTAAACTCAGAGAGAACTCAACTCAGGTAAACTCAGAGAGAGATAAACTGATAGATATCTCAACTCAGGTAAACTCAGAAAGAGATAAAGTGTTAGTAAAACTCAACTCAGGTAAGCTCAGAAAGAGATTAAGTGATAGTAAACTCAACTCAGGTAAACTCAAAAACAGATGAAGTGTTAGTAAACTCAACTCAGGTAAACTCAGAAATAGATAAAGTGTTAGTAAACTCAACTCAGGTAAACTCAGAAATAGATAAAGTGTTAGTAAACTCAACTCAGGTAAACTCAGAAAGAGATTAAGTGATAGTAAACTCAACTCAGGTAAACTCAAACACAGATAAACTGTTAGTAAACTCAACTCAGGTAAACTCAGAAATAGATAAAGTGTTAGTAAACTCAACTCAGGTAGACTCAGAAAGAGATTAAGTGATAGTAAACTCAACTCAGGTAAACTCAGAAAGAATTTATAGAGATAAAGTGATAGAAAACTCAACTCAGGTAAACTCAGAGAGAACTTATTGAGATAAAGTGATAGAAAACTTAATTCAGGTAAACTCGGATAGAATTGATTGAGATAAAATGATAAAAAAAAAAAACTCAGTTAATTCGAAGAAAACTTAACCCATGTAAACCAATAAAGAACAACTAAGGGAAACTCAGGTTAACTCGGAGAACTTAATGAGATAAAGGAGTGGAATAGTTCTGATTGCATAACAAAAGGAAAAGATAAAGGTTTCAAATTGTACATTATGAATGATCAAGAGGGGAAGGGGTGATAATATGTCAGTTGTAGTCAGGATGGAAAAGTGCATCCTTATTCAATGTACTTGACCAAAATTGCTTCCATCATATGTATATAGTTTACAAATAATATTTGATATAGATTTTCCTATTTTCGAAAAAATTTGTACCAAGATTTTCTTATCATATAGTATATTTTTATCTCTTATATTTTACTCTTTTCTTACTTTCAGAGGCCAGTAGTAGTGATGAAGATGAAGACAACATTAGAAAACAAGAAGGTACTACTGAATTGGTGTTTTGCTCCAGTTTGCCTATTTTTTTTTTTTCGACACTCTCAATATAACCAGGGTTTGTCCTGTAGTTTTCCCTTTCCATTACAGTGGCATTAGTCTATTTATTTGAGTTCTATTAAAGAATTGCAGGATTCTAAAAGTAATATCCTTTTCTTATAATGGTGTACTTTCTTATAATGTTGTACTTAGTTAGATACAGTTTAGCTTACCTAATCTAAGAATTCTTGAATTCTACAATTGATATGTTGAAATTAGTAAGAAGTCCCAAACATTTTAGATATATTAACCTCTTTTTGCTCTATTTTTTTTCCTCAATCTTATAAAGTTTGATTTAATAAGTTTGAACTGTATTTATAATTTTCCTGTTTCTGTAGCCAACTTAGAAATGGAGGAAGTGTATATTGTGGAATCTCAGGATGAAGTGGACAGCTGGCAGAATGAAATTCTACACCGTATGGATCAGGACCAGGACTTTTTATCCCAGCTGAAGGCTCGACGGAACAGAAATAATAATCAGAGTGATAGTGAAACAGAGTTAGTAACAAAAACATAAAATCTCAATACACTGTATTTAAAGGACCAAAGTCTCAGAAATTTGCTGAGTAGTATGTAATATGTCCTAGTATTAAATTTTCATTATGTACTTTGCTAAATTGAGCTTGAGATAATTATATGTCCCCCCACAACTGTGGATGACAAATTCATTTTTGCACAACAATTCTTCACTAGAATCATTCTGATATTGTATTTACAGTTCCCTGCCCCCTCCCTCCTACGCGTCAGTTACAGAGAGTGCCACGCCCTACTACCCCGTCTCCAACAACAACCGGGAGGGAACGGAGGACGGAGATTCCTTTGTTCTGACGGACGACAACAAAACGGATGATGACGCAGAGCTGTACGACAATCATCCCAAGGTAAGCTAATGACAATATAGAATAAGTAATGCTTAGGATAAATAATATCAGTGTATATTTCATACACACTGTAAGTGTAACTTGTGATGATGAAGCAGAGCTATACAACAATCATGCCAAGGGAAAGAACTCTCCAAAGTCAATGACAATGTGTAATTGGTTAACTAATGCTTAGGAAAATTATAACAGTGTAATCAATGCTAAGTCATACACATTGTAAGTGTATCTTATGCTTGAGACAGGTTATTAACAGGGTGAATAAGTATAAGAAGCATTATACAATAACAGTATTAATGACTGCGGAATCGTCATTACTTATGGGGATAAATGTTCACAAGTCAAACTAACCCATGAATTTACATCCACACAAACAATAAGTTGTCTGTACATCAATTCAATTAAATTACATGTAAATGTTTACATTGACTTATATTTAGATAAAAAATGCTGAAATTAATATCATATATTTAAGAGTCAAAATCAGCAAGCATCGAGCATTGAATGGAAAGTCAAAATTTTATTTTTTCAAAAGCTTTTGGTATATGAAAGATTTTGTCCTACCTAATGCTAAAACACAATTAAAATTTTTTTTTGAACGTATGAAGGGACTGGTATCCAAGGAAATTCATTTCCTTAGCAACGGGCTCAAAAATCCTTATGAAAATCAATGATTTTTAGACATTTTTCTATGAATATTTTTTCTGAACGTGATAAGATGAGGTATTTTGGTTACTTTATTTGTTGAAAGGTGGAATTACTTTATTCTTAAAAAACAGGAAAAACAAAATTTCTGTACTGATATTGTTGCCATGACAACGGGAAAAGAACATGGCGTCAATGCTTATTAATTTTGAAAAAAGTTACATATGTTTATAACTATATACACAAAATCTGCAACCACTGCTGGAAAAATGAACGTTGTGATCTTGTTACGGGTTATCTATATGTCATATCTATACAATAAAATTTGCAGGCAACTTTAGTAGAAAAAAGTTACAAATGGTTAAAATGTGTGATAATCTGGCATTTATAAGCTTTTTTGAAGGGATGGGGGTAATTTGAATACATGTACAGTGTCCATTATATTGGTCATATTGGTTCTGATCAATGCATACTCATAATTTTACTATTGTTGATAAATAAATGCCCATTCAATTTCAAAAGGAATTTTATATTCCTCACAAACGAAACTTTGAAAGGGGGGGGGGGGGGGGTAGGAATCACCTTGTTCACCGATCCATATGTATGTAAAATTTTGACTTGTCCATAACATTTCAATGAAGTGCCACTGAAAGTTCATACTTGATATTAAGATTGCTTGTGATCGAGAGATTGTCAAAAACTTGACTCAAGGTCATTTGAACAAGTTCAAGGTCATTGGTAGAAGAAAAGTGCAATCTTCGCCCATTCTGTAACATTCTAATGAAAAGACTTGGTTTCATCTCGGGAATTATTTTTGAACTGTAGGTTTGTCATGACCTTGACCAAAGTTCATTTGGACATGTTTGACCTTGACTCAAGGACATAGCTTTTTCAAGGTCACTGCAGTAAAAGTGTACTATATGAGTTTGTGCTCAACACAACGGTTTTACTACTTATGACTTGAGTATTTGTCATAGTCATTTTTGGTAAGTACATCTACACTAGCAAAATTTTAATAGGTTTCAAATTAATATTTGGACCTTTTTTGCAATAAAAAACATTTAATGCAATAGCAGGAGGGTTGGTATCATTTTATGAGCTTGCTCACAATAATTCTAGTTTATGAGAAAGAGTCACTATGACAGCTCACATAATTTTAAAGTTAAACCATGTCAATCAGGCATGTAGCATCAGGATGACATCCCCAACCAAACTTTTTTCTCAACATAACCTGATGTTTACCCCCACCCCCGAGTTTGGAGAATTTCCCCACTTTTTTTGCAGTTTTTTTAATGCCTACATGTACCCCACACCATGCACTGAAAAAAAAATAGTTGAAGTACTAAGAAGACTAGTAAATTTACTGTCCATACAATCACTACCTTAAAAGTAGTTTTACTGGGTATTGATTAGATTTACTAGATAAGATTAGTAAATCTAGAATTGATAAGTAACTTTCATTAGGTATTTAAGTATCTATACAACCCCCGCTAACTTCACTTCTAACTATCTTAGACAGTAAACAGAAAGATTACTAATCACTACAAACGCTTTACGAGGCACACTAGTTAAAATCACAATGTATTTCTTTCAGTGTGCACTTTCAAAAACGATACCATGTCTGTCTTTGGTATTGAACCGATGATATATTCTCCTACTGTCCTAATTTAGAAACAATATTGCAGGACAGCTAAGACCTCAGTAGCTACTGGTGCCTAAAATAAAAATCTGGAAGGGCTAAATATGTATGAATGTCTAAATTCGAACTGACCCTAAAAGAAATTCATTAATAACCGTAATGGGCAATCTTTGAATGGCATATATCGAAATTTTTATTGTACTTATATTTAAAAACATTTTGAAAGCAATGTAGAAATCAGAAGAGAAGGAAAAATATGAATATTTTATATATACATGTGTAAGGCCACGCCATTAAAAATTTTGTTCGTCGGACCCGCGCGCTCGTATTTAAACAAAACGATACAAATAATATTAATTTAAATTTCCCGCATCATAGGAATTCTGTGCTATTTTCTGTTTCATTTCTGTTTATTGTATTTTTAATCTGCTTACTGTACTCTGTAAATCAGAAAAAATATAATTGTCCGCTCAATTTTTTCACGCTCCGCCTAAAAAAATTGGCCAGAAAAAGTAATATTATTTAACCGCTTGCCCGCTTGTACTTTTTTTAAATCAAATGTCCGACGAACAAGAAATTAAATTGGTGTGGCCTAATACCTAGAGATACAAAACATATAAATTTGAGGAACGTGTCGTCCGACTTTTAACTAGTTCATCATCATCATTATTTTTATTTCACTCACACCAACATCAGTGGTACATGAGGTACAATATATAAATTAGCGCTCTTTCTTTTTTCTCACAAAAACATTTTGTCAGTTTTGAAATTAATTAATCATTTAATATTGACCTTGTATTAATTATGATACTTCAAAATGCAGAATATAAAGATATGTTTCAGATTCTTCTACTATCTATTTATGAATCTGCATGCTAAAATTTGATAGTTATTAGATTTACATCAATAAAAAAAATGCTAACAGACAAACAAAGAATGTTACTTTTGGATTGAACATTTTTATTTGATCCACTTTCATGAATACACTGTACAATTTATGGATCTATTTTCTGGATCCCCGAGTCTCTATCCACTATCCACTCACTTCCAGCATCAATGGTCTGTACTGTAATAATGTATTCTCATAATGATAATCTGAAAAAGTGATAAAATTAAAATGTAATAATATTATACAACTTACTTAGAACCATTTCTAGTTGAGCTTGAGCAATGATGATGAATGGAAAGCATGTTTATTGGAATCAATTAAATTCCAAGAGATCTCAATGGTTAATCATTTTATTTTAAAAAGTTAACGTTTTTACTAAATGTCTTATTTACATGTTTTTCCTGTCTAATTCTATATCAGCTCATCCAATTCTGTTTCTGCTTCTTTCCGAGTCTGGCTTCAAAGTGCCGAATTTCATTCTAAAAACAGAAGTATACAACACAAAGTTGAGACCGTATTGATTTTAGATATTCTTTAAATTAAAAAAAAACTTTTAATAAAAAGGTCAATTGGTTCTAGGTTTTGTCAAAACTCTAGATTATGGTTTTCATTTCTTTCCAATAACCCCCCCCCCCCCCCAAGAGACAAAAAATGGAGTATAGATATTCTTTTCATAAATTTACGTGCTTTAAATCTAATGATGCTTATTATTGAACCTAGTTGGCTTAAATTAGTTCAGTGGTACCGGAGAAAATGTTAGCTGAATATGAATTTTCTTTTATAAGTAAACACTGGATGACATCAGCAAATTTTTTTTTTTAATTAATTATTCTACTGTGGTATATATACAATTCAGTTACCACTAGTCCACTACATAATACACTTGTCTGTATCACAATACTTCCAAATAATCCCCTTTCCTAAACTAAAATATATTAAGTAAAAAGTTAACCCCCTGCCCCCAAATATTTTACGGACGCCATAACAAACATAGGCGTAGTCACGGGGGGGGGGGGGGGGGGGGGGGGGGGGGGGGGCCCCCTAATATATTTTTATAGAAAAAATATCTTTATATCAATCTGGTGGGGCAAGAGTATGCTTCTGTGCCCCCCACTTTTTAATGAAGAACAAAATCACAGCTATTTTGAAATAATATTTAACCTCATTTTATGGCATTTTTTTATGTTCAACAACTGAGTAAGCATCTCTCTTGAAGTAATAGTTGTATACTATAGTAATTAAATCGTCAAGACCTCCCCCCCACTTTTTTTCCCCAGCATTACCTTCACTATAGGAAATGTTCATTGAAGGAATACTAAGCCCCCCCCCCCCCCCCCCCGAAATTGGATATTCGGGTTTGTGGAACTTTCATCAGCAATTTTTTTTTTTTTTATTCTTTGCTTGTCTGTAAAGAATTTCCAAGGTAATCCCCTTTCCTACACTTAAAATATATTGTGACTACGCCTCTGACAAAGGTCATTCCATTTTACAAATATTTCATAATAGTGTTGGTTTTAATAAATTCATAATTTTTTTTATGTAAAAAGCAGGTATTATCTTAAATGGTAAATAAAGATAATTATCTATTATATACAGAATTTTTATTTACCCGACAATCACTCAAGTTATAATCATTATAGCTGGTAAGTGACTTGGTTATACACACATGCCGTGAATATAACAAATCAAAATTAAACTAAATTCAAATCAAACTTTATAATCTGGGATACAGTTATGTAACTGATCATGACCGACTTTTTCAAGTTAGGCCCGCAGTAACAATCTATATTGGGGAATTTAATTTCATTTTATCATATTATAGTTTAATATCGGCAATATTATGGGGGGGGGGCATACCCCCTCCTCCTGGTTCCTCATATAATGCATAATCTTTTCTTTTTAATTATAAAATACTAAAGTAATGCTAACATATATACTAATAATCAATCAGAATTAAATTGAAATACATAAGCAAAAACACCTGCCAAGTGTTACATATTTTACTGCATGGTATTATTATAATTTATGTTATAGATTCTTCACTAACTGTTGTAATGGTAAATTGTAAAAATTTCAGTCACTCACCGTAATTAAGACTCATGAAAACGCCAAAACTGAGGCTCAGACTGCTCCAAGTTAGTAATTTTCTGCTAGTCTTCTGTACACTGTTATTGAAAACAATGTAAGCAAACTACCGTTTATTCCTCCTATGTTAGAGAGCTATACCAAAGGGAGGTAATTTGAAGCAAAAGTGACAGAAAATTATGGATTTAAATCAGTTATCATATATAAATGCTTAAGTTGCCTGCAGATTTTTTTCTTGATTCTTCTAGAACAAATACTGTTTAATATATATTTTATGTTGATAAGCTTTAATGTGGTTGTAGATTTCTTATAGAGTACTTCAAATTTGCTGTTTTTTAAAGCAAAATTAACCTCCAAAAACTAGTTTTATTTATCAAAAGGTGAAAAGAATTTCAATAATCAACAGTTGTTAAAATAGAGTATTTTTATATAAATAAAATAATAATTAAAAAAGCTTTTATTAATGACTAGTGATAAAAAAATATTTGTTTAACCATAAATTCAAGTGTCATGATAAAGTACAAAACACGCTATTTGAAAGGCGCGTGGTTTCCATAGCAACAATGCGAAAAATTATTTTTGGCTTGCTTTTTTCTATTATACCCTTTGTTCTGAAAATTTATATTTGAGTTTTAACCAAATCTGTTTCTATGCCACTTTCCACATTTTTTAACTAAATGCTCGATGCTTGCTGATTTTGACTCTTAAATGTATTAAAGTGAAAAAAACTTCTACTGAAAATGTTTACTTTTTTTATAGGAGTTGCCTAACAGAATGACGTCCAGCACACATACGACGGATGACGAGAGTTACCTTCAGTCAGACGCAGACTCCTACATCCGCACAGACGATGATGAGGAAAGCAGCAACACAGACTGGGAGGAGTCTATGAAGAGATGGGTCAACCGATAGGCGGAGTCAAATGATTGACAGACAGGGTCAACCAATAGACAGCCAGGGTCAAGCAGTAATCCAGCGGGGGTTGTGCAATCTAATATAATGAGATGAAACACTCAAGTAGTGTGTAGAGAAATCAACTGTTCATTCAAGAAGGGATTGTGCAATCATGGAAGTGCAAAATGAAGAGGTTTAGAGAAACACTGAAACCAAAGAGGTCTTATCTCAGCAAATGAACTCATTACTGAGTGTGATAATATTAAAGTGCAATGCTGATAGGGCAGGACATACCTCAACATGTAGGGTGAACTGTGAAATTCTATATATTTTCATGAAAAAACAAACATTTCAATGTATTCCAGTTAAAATTGCTTCATAATTCAGATGTCTAGTCAACAAAAGGAGATCCCAGGGCAGTTATCCGAAACTGTGCTATGTGTATATTGTTGATTTTTTTTTTTATTTCTCTAGCAAGATGGTGTGCAATATTCTATTTGAGTTTTCCCAAAAGCTATGGGTTGTCAGCATTTTTATCTTTTACCAAAGAATATGTTTCCTGATATTCAGCAATCAAGGTTAGCTCTGGTACTGAATGAGCTACATGTTTTATATGTTTTCTTATAACAATGTTCCATTTTTATGCTTAGATTTTAATATACCGGGTAGTTTTCAGGCTGAGCTCGGTATATAATAATACATGTACATTAATAATAACTCATAAACACACAGACCAAAATTAAATAATATAACATATCAGCAGATTATTACATTTTATTTCATGTGCTAACTTCCATTATTCACATTATAAAATAGTTTTTTTGTAAACATTAAAAAGCATGTTACATATAAAGAATGATAACTCTGTCTAATGGAAGATACAAAAGTAATTATACCAAAAGAAACTTTTAATAAAAAAGTTAGCTAAAGTCTATTGTAGTTAAATTCATGTAAATTAACACTTAAAAAAAAACAGAACAATTTGCTGTGTTAGACTTGAACAATTCTTTCATATATATTTTATATGAATTAGCATTCATATTTTATTTGATTTAGCATGCAATTCAATGCATATTTTCATATACTAGTATGTACAGGTATTTATGCTTTTATTTTACTCCTATTATTTATAGCTTAATTTTCTTAATCTTTCAAATTTCATAATTTTGAAAAATAACAGTCCCTGAATTTGATAGCTCTAGTCCATAGTTCTACCTCTAGCATAATCAGTATGCTGTTAGAAGAAAGTCAACTTAGAATTCAAAGTCTTCAAAACTTAGTAGCCAGTTTTAGTTGTAAATGTCATCACCTTTTGAAATTAACATATCATCAACATTAATAATGTCACCGCATGAGATTAAGTAGATTTCTGTGTTAGTATTCTATTGGGATTTATTACTTCTTACATGGTATGTATGAGTTGCCATTGAGTGAAGTCTTGGTGTTTATTGATTACTACTTAAAAAATATTTCTTTTCGGCAATATGTTGTCATAATTCTTTGTTAAATTATTTGTATGTTATTAATGCACTAATAATTGTTGTTTGTTATGCCCCCTTCAAAGAAGGGAGGGCATATTGCTTTGCTGCTGTCTGTCAGTCCGTCGGTCGGTCTGTCGGTCCACTTAGTTTCCGTTCATTTTCTTTGCAACCGTTGCAGATACTGAAATGAAATTTGGTATACAGATATATCACATGAATATCTAGGGCAAGTTCTGTTATGGGTACGATCGCATCATTTTTGACAGAGTTATGCCCCTTGGACTTTGAAAAATTGCAATTATTTGCAGTTTCCGTTCATTTTCTTTGCAACCGTTGTAGATACTGAAATGAAATTTGGTATACAGATATATCACATGAATATCTAGGTTAAGTTATGTTTTGGGTACAATCGCACCATTTTTGACAGAGTTATGCCCCTTGGACTTAGAAAAATTTCAATTATTTGCAGTTTCCATTCATTTTCTTTGCAACCGTTGTACATACTGAAATGAAATTTAGCATACAGATTTATCAGAGGAATATCTATGTCAAGTTATATTTTGGGTATGATCGCACCATTTTTGACAGAGTTATGCCTTTTGGACTTGGAAAAATTCCAATTATTTGAAGTTTCGGTTCATTTTTTTTTTCACAACCGTTGAAAATACTGAGATGAAATTTAGAATACAGATTTATCAGATAAATATCTAGATTATATTCTGTTTTGGGTACCATTGCACCATTTTTGACATTATTATGCCTCTTGGACTGAGAAAAAAAATTCCAATTATTTGCAGTTTCCTTTCATTTTCTTTGCAGAGGTTGCACATACTAAAATGAAATTTGGTATACAGATTTATCAGATGACTATCTTGGTCAAGTTCTGTTTTGGGTACATGTACAATCACACCATTTTTGACAGAGCTATTCCCTTTTGGACTTGGAAAAATTTCAATTTGGGGGGAGGGGGGCATAAGTGTTTTACAAACATCTCTTGTTTTTTTAAAAATCACCTAACTTTATAACTTAAGATTTAGAAAATATAAATCAAGCAGACAATATACCTATATATGCCTTTACGAAGTGCTCTACAGTTAAGTTAATTTTCTATAAAGTTGTATAACTACTACTATTAAATAAAGAATGTACTGTGTAGATATTTTTATTTGATACTGCTGTTTTGCTTCTGTTTATCTTTTCTATCAGCTATTTGTGATTCATTGATATGACAGAGGTTGTGCTCTTGTATTTTACATGTCTTACAATGTATCACAATATTTTACAATGTATTACAATGCATTACAGTGGTTGTAATTTATGTAACTTGTACAGTGGTTACAATGTAAAACATATTGTTTGTAAATGTGATACAAATATTAGTATTACAGATGACTGTACCTGGTAATTTGTCCATCATGGTTGAAAAATGGTTGTCTGTGTTAAACAATGGCTATACCAAGTCTGACAGTAGAGCTTTACATCTTGTAACATTGATTATTGTTTTATACATTTGACTATTGAAATTTTTGTTAACATAGAAATTGTTGTTGATATAAAGATGAAATAATTCATGATTAGAGATATTTGAAGGGGAAAAAGGCTATGTTTAATATATAGACCTAATAAAACATAACAAAGAATTTACATACTGACATTTTATCTATTATTTGGGGCACCAAATTAGTTTGATTACCATGAACAAATTATGTTAAACTAACTTTTAGCAACAGCAGAATCTGATCATAACTATTTTAATTTTTCATGTACAAATACATTTAACTGTTATCCTTCCCCTTTAAGATATGACATCTGTTCAGTGGTTCTCAATCTCTACTCAGAGTTGTCCTTCTTATTCAAATACATCTCTGTCAAATTCTTATATTTCATAATATTATTTTAAAACCCATTAAAGCTTCATGGTAACATAATTTTACATTAACATGTCCTCTCTATTAGGCACCCTTACCCCTTAAAGTTCCCCCTGAAGTATTTTCTGATTGCCTGAGGATAAGACACCTCCACCCCCAAGTCTCATCAGAATTTCAAAATCCATCATGAATTTGACTGGTAGTTTTCCTGAATTAAAACAAGATGTGTTTATGAAACACTGATGCCCCCGTATAGCAGCTTATGGCAAGGGTTGAATTCTCTCAAATGCATGTCAAACTCCAAAGGTCAAGGTCAAATGGTCAATAGTGTTGGTACCCAAAGGAAGGTCTTGTCACAAGGAAAACACCTGTGAAATATGAAAGCCCTAGTCCTAATTGTTCGAATGTTATAAACAAGGTTAAAGTTTTTAAAAAGTAGGTCAAACTTATGTTGAGGTCAAACTTATGTTGAGGTCAAAAGGTCAAAATATTTATACCAGCTGAAAGGTCTTGTCACAATAAATATACTTGTAAAGTATGAAAGCCCTAGCTCCAACTGTTCAAAATTATGGTCAAGGTTAAAGTTTGGTGACCTATTGTTATCTGTTTTTGTCCGTCAGCGTTCGTCAAGCGTCATATGCTTTAACCTTTGAACATTTTCAGCTTCTCTGAAACCACTTAACCAATTTCAACCAATTTTGGCATATAGCATCTATGGGTGAAGGGGAACAAAAAATTTTGAATTTCATCGTCCCTGTCCCCTGGGGTCGGGGGGTGAGGCCAAAACCACTAAAATTAATGCAATCATTAAAAATTTTCTTTTACTCCTGGACATCAAGCAGTCAAACTGTTGGTATGATTGTAATCAACATTGACTTCTCTACCAACATTGTGAAATTCATGGCCCCTGGGTCAGGGGTTCTAGTGCTAGGGCGGGGCTAAATAGATTATATAGTGAAATTGCATTATTTCTTTGAAATTCTTCTCTGCTCCTGGGCATTAAATAAACTAACCAAGTGCATAGTTATGTTGATTATGGCTGCCTCTTCCAAAATTGTGAATTTCATGGCCCCAGGATCAGGGGTTCTAGTGCTAGGGCAGGGCAACATAGATTATATAGTGAAAATGAATTATTTCTTTGAAAATTTTCTCTGCTCCTGGGTATTAAATAAGTACGTTGTTATGTTGAATAAGACTGCCTCTTCCAAAATTGTGAATTTCATAGCCCTGGGGTCAGGGTTCTGGTGTTAGGGTGAGGCTCTATTGATTATATAGTGAAAATGCATAAATTCTTTAAAAATCTTCTTCTCTGCTCCTGGGTATTAAACAGTTGAACTATGTACATATTTATGATGAGGAAGGATGCCTCGGAGATTTTTGAATTTCAGGGTCCCTGGGTTGGGGTTCTTGTATTATAGCGGGGCTTTAATGTTTATGTAGTGAAAATTCATTAATTCTTTGAAAATCTTTTCCTTTGCTCATTGGTTTATGCCAATGATCTAAGTACATATTTATGATGAAGAAAGCTGCCTCTTCCAAACTGGTTAATTTCAGGGCCCCTGGGTAAGGGGGGGGGGGGTACATAGTTTGAAAATAAATTAATGCTTTGAAATTTGCTCTCTGGTATTAATGAACAATTTGTGATGAAATAAAATTTATATGGTAACATTTCCAAAATTTTGAAATATGTGGCCCAAGGGTCAGTGGTTCCTGTGGGATGGTTTGCACAACAGGTTGTAAAGTGGAAATGCATTTTCTCTTTGTAACTCTGACCTACTTCTGGGTATTAAGTACCCAAAGTAAGCATGCAAAGTGTATAGTTATGATAAGCAATGGTGCCTCTTTCAAAATTGTGAATTCCATGGCCTCTGGTTTAAAACAAAACCAGAGGCCATCAAATTCAATTGTTGGAAAGTTGTTACATGATACTCAGGTGACCTATATGACCTGTGGGCCTCTTGTTTGTAAATGTAGGTCAAACTCCAAGGTCAAATTTGGTGGTACCCAAAGAAAGGTCTTGTCACAAGGAATACACATGTGAAATATGAAAGTCATAGCTCCACTAAATCAAAAGTTATGGTCAAGGTTAAAGTTTTTGTGACGGAGACAGACAAATGAGATTTAATGTCCCCTCGCTTTTGCTAAAGCGGGGGACAAATTATGGTTTAAAATTTAATTGCAAAAACTGCTTGAGATATCGCCCGGAAATGAAAGCTTTACACGCACACACAGAATGTATACATTTATTACCTTGACCTTTGACCTCAAAATCAAATGGGGTCTTTCTTAGGCCATTGGGATTTGTGGTATAAAGCTCCAAGGCTTCTCGAGATGTGCCGAAACGAAAATGTTAAAAAAGACAGAATTATTTAAATTATAACCTTGACCTTTTGACCTCAAAAACAAAAGGGATCTTCCATAGGCCATAGGGAGTTATGTAAAATTTAATTGCAAAGGTTGAAAGGGTTCTCGGGATGTCGTGTGGAAACGAAAGTTTTTTAGACAGACAGAAATAGGGCTAGACTGGCGGACAGATAGACCGATCTAAATTAATATCCCCCACTTTCAGCTGGGGGAAAAATATGTTTGTACTTAAAGAAAGGTTTTGTAAGATACAAAAGCCAAAGCTCCAACAGATCAATCGGTATGGGCAAGGCTTACGTACGTTTATGCGAACAAAGACATACATGTACAGACTGACAGGCAGGGTAGAAATGCGTTTACACCATTGGGACATTGGCAGATTCGAGCGTATATAATAGAGGTAAAACAGGCTGAATTTTTTATCATATTATATTTTTATTCCTTTATCAAAAATTCAACAAAGATCAAGGGCATATAATTTTTGGTCCGTCCGTCCAACTGTCCGCAGAAAAAATTAACCTTGGCCATAATTTTTGTTTGGTTAGAGCTAGGGCTTTCGCTTTTCACGTGTGTATTCCTTGTGACATATTTGACGTCTTCATGTTGACCTTGGCGTTTCACCTGCATTTGTAAAATTTTACAAAACATTAACCTTGACTAAACCTTTTGGACGATTAATGAGAGTGTTTCCATGCTTCACGCGTACATTCTTTGTGATGGAACCTTTCCTTGAGTATATGAACAATTTTGAGCTCTTGACCTTGGCGTTTAATTTACTTCTCAAAAAGTTAAAACCGTTGGCATTGGACGTGAAATGCCAAACTTTCATATTCCACGTGTTTTTTCGCGAGACGTACTTTTTGTGGTACGAATAATTTTGAATTTAAATAATTTCGAGTAACAAGGCCTCCTCATGAGTATCAACAATTTCGAATTTATGACTTGGACCTTCGAGTTTAACTTACAGTACAATTCTTCGTTATCCTTGGACTTTCAGTTAGGCGTGGCATTCTCGACGTGACATAATTAGCGTCTAAAATTTACATAGCCTTTCATTCACTGTTGAAATATACATGGGATTAGAAATTCGGGCGGATGTCATCGAGTATAGAAGGATCCAATGATAGCGTTTCGTACGGCATAGAGGCGGGGCTTAAATTGTCTCATCGTTGCATATCATCAACGATTTAAAGTGGATGATATTATTAATTTCTTAACCAGTGAGAATCTATATATTCGCCATCTGAGAGGCGCTAATTACGTAGCGTCGAGAATGCCAGGCTTTACTGAAAGTCCAAGGATGACAGAGAATTGTACTATTTGACATACTCTTACCTTGACCTTAACTTTTAAATGTTTTAATATTTCACATATCTTTTTTTCTGTGACATTGAATTGCATTTCTTTACTTTGGGTACCAACAATATCAACCTTTTGAAGGTTTGCCTTTTGAATACTTTAACCTTCAGCATGATTTCTCAAAGGTTGATCCAAGGGCACTCTTATTTCATAGACCTGCATTCCTTGTGACAAGATCTTTCATATACCGACACTTTTGAATTTTTGTTCTTGTTTTTTAACTTGAGTTTAAGAAACATTAACCATTGGCATGAACTTTCAGCGTTTTACAAACAAATTTTGTCTTTATTAAGATTAATTTTAATGTCAACCTTTGACCTTTAAAATTAATTAACAGCGAAAGTATTAAAAAGAGACTATACTTCTCAATAGAAAACAAGTCAATTTCCTCGTCACCAGGACAAAACTTGAATCACAAGTGTTTGTCTAAGTATGTATTTCTCTATTCATTAAATTCATGTGTGCATACCTATAATGTTTCCGTGTAAACTATAGATGTTGTCCAAAGATGTGCATATAAAGATTTACCCACGTCACTGGCACAGTTAAGTGTTCAGCAATAGACTATTCTGCGAAGGCACCATCCTTTAAAGTCTGTTACTGCAGCAAAAGATCAAGTAGTAGTGAAAGGTATGTATGTAACTCTTGATGATCGAGTATAAATCTATTATAGGCATGTTCAGTGCATTGTGATCAGTTTTGCCCTAACTTTCATGCCTCTATTGTCGAAGATCCGGGTGTATATAGTTTTGCCATGTTTTTTCCGTCTGTCTTTCTGTTTGTTTATCTGTTTGTACGCTTTTTCGCAAAAGCTTCCACATTGCCATAACTTTTATCATTTGGAAGTATGACTTTTATTTTTCATATTTGTATTCCTTGTGACAGGACCTTTCCTTGGGTACTATTATATTTGACCCCTTGACCTTGACCCTGAAATTTGACCAAAGAACGAGGGCGCTTTTGATTGGCATTCGGCAGGAATCTGGGCGTGCTTGAATAGTGAAAATTTTATCGACATGCCTCAAGAAATTTTAACATTTTTTTTATTTATTGGGTTCCTGTGAAATCGGAAAGAAAAACATTTTCCTGAAAGTGTGTTTTGATTTGCTAAAAATCAACTTGAAAATTGGCTAGATCAGACATTTGGTACAAAATGGTACATTTTTAAGCACGTTTTTCTAAAAATTTTCTATCTCTGGGTCTTCTCTCCATGATTTTGAAACGTTATTTGTGTGCATTTTAATTCAAAGAAACGACCACACATTTGCAAAAAATGGAGAGAGAAGACCCAGAGACCATAATAAAATGAACTTTTTCCCAAAAAGTCCAACTGTGTAAATGTGGTGCTTCTTTGTCCTTTTTAAATCCCCAAAAATGTGAAGCAGTTGATAGCTCAGATAGATGGGCTACCTGATGAGGCCTGTCCTGCAGAGCGAACGTTCGCGAGCGCTCGCAAAAATTCCTAATACCTCCAACAGTAATTTTAACAGCGCTATGAACAGTTAATTGTTTTATATTAATTTTTGAGCCAGAAGGGAATAGTTTTTGGTTCGAGCCTCGCGAGGGGCGTTAATTTTTTTTTTAAACAATCGATTCTTTTGTCAGTTTCATTTAATTTATTAAAGTTTTTAATTAGATAACGTAGGTTAGTTGCACCGAGAGCGAAATCAATTGCAATCTTCTATTCTACTTAAACTTTGATGTACATGTACAAGTACACTTATTATCTATATATGCCTTTTATCTTATAGGTGTTTATTTTTTGTAAAGCATTACTATGTTATTGTACCTCCTTAAAAAAACTGTAATAAAAGTAATTATCCGACAAGGTATTTCAAACTAAATAAAAAAATCCTATGGTTGTTTGTTAAATCTGACAAGCTATAGTCATCCAACCAAATTATGGACATTTAATAAATGTTTCGTACAAATGATTCCTGCAGATCACACGCCAAATACGCCCCTCTTCTTTTGTCAGAATTTACCCAACTTTAACCTTGGTCATAAATTTCGAACAGTTGGTGCTTGGGCTTTTTGCATTCATTTTGAAAAGACCGTTAAACGGATATATAAATATTTTAACATTTTGACCTTAACCTTTGTTTATGACCCACTTTTTTTTTAAAAACGTTAACATTAGACTTTAGACATAACTTTCAAACAGTTAGTACTAACGCCTTCCTGTTTTACAGGTGTATTTCATGTGACACTTCCTTTGTAAACCAACAATTTTCAGCAACTTTTCTTTTTAACTTGACCTTGAAGTTTGACCTACTTTTGAAAAACGTCAGCAAAACTATTACTTTTAAACATTTGGTGCTTGATCTTTAATATTTCATATGTGTATTTCTTATGACAAGCCTTCCCTTAATTTGGCCCTATATTCATTAAGAACAAGTTATTTCTTTGAGTAACAACATTTGTTTGTTCCCTTGACCTTGGAGTTTGACATGTATTTGAGAAATCAACTTTCGCCAAAAGTTATCATTCAAGGGCAAAGTATTTCACAAACACAGCTCTTTTTCTCAAACGAAGACCGCGCGTTTTACTAAGTAATTGACCCCACTCCATATCATTTTACACTAAAGTAGTCGTTGGTATGAAATTTTTCAATTATACGTGTATATATTCTATAAATATCAGTAATTATGCGTCTTGAAGACACGGTTTATATCTAAGGTCTGGGTACAACTTCTCCAGGTGTTCATAGTCCTCTGATATACCTCCATCACTGCGTACTATCGCTGTGTACCTATTATAACACGATATTTTGTGAGACGGGGTGTTGGTCTGAAACATCGATTATAAATGGGAGTAGCCCATCTCATAACAAGTGTCCTAACTAACCATGTAAACAGACTGCTGTTTTTACTGTATGTCTGAATGTCGGTCTTCTCTCAGCTGGGACGGTGTTCTGGATTGCTATATACAAAACAGAGCGGGATCATTGATTTTCTACTCATGATTAAATAATGTATTATTATACATGTGTATGTTGACGCGCCATGTCAGTATAAACACGTGCCCTACATCATAGGATCACGAGGAAACTACTATAGTCTTCTTTAATTAACAGGTATGAAAGTTAATTGTTTTATATTAATTTTTACAGATTAAATTTATTTCCAGTTGGAAATTGATATACATTCACTTTTTAACCACCCTGCACATACGCTGAATATTATATTACGTGTAGTTTCGTTTTTAACATTACAATCTATGAACTTTGTTTTGGTATATAGTAATATCTCAAAACGAATAAAACCGATTCATTTTGTCAAATCAGCAACCATTTTGCAACTAGTTTCTTTACAAAAGCTTTGTTTGGAACTGTAGGTCCACAGAATCGGAAAAGGTTCAGTTGCTACAATCGATTAGTTTCTTCCTCTTCCCGTTTTTGTGGAGAAAAGGCATCAATAGGTATAAGTAGGATTTATTTCATCCATTTCCCATCCGTACACCTCCCAGCCACACTTGGAGTGATAATCATTAATCGAATCGGAGAAATTTCAAAGCAAATATTTTATTGTGTTCGCTTTTATGCAGGTCGATGAAGCCTAGTGGGACTGCTATATATATTTCAACGATGAAAACATTTCATCGATTTATCCAGCTGTGTTGAAAACATTTAGAGTAAAAACATATATTTCTTGTAAATCTCTAGGCTATAATTAAACAAGTGCAGGTTGATACCGAGTAGAGCTGATCGAACACGTGGAACTTGGCGCGGGAAAAGTGACAAGGTTTAAATAAAACGGAGATAGAGCTGCAGTGCACATCAGTACATGTATTAAGTTATCACTTTCTCGTCGGAATGTACTGCTATAGATAAATAATAGGTCTGCATGTAATCTGATCAAGATTCAGTCATGAAATATTTATACTAGTAGCTAATGTCTGACACTGATTATCATCTGAGTAAAGAGGCAGTTATTTATATGTAACCTACTATAGTTGGATATAGGCACCGAACTCTGTGATTCTTATTTTCAAATTACTGGAGAATTTGTAAAAAAAAAAAAATAATAATAATAATGAAATTATTTCCTTTATTATTTAATAAATTTTATCCGTTCTGTAAAACTCTTTCCAAATTCAAATCATTATGGTAAATTGATGCTGGAGAATCCAAAAGTAAATTTACATTGTATCCAGCTATAAAGGAATGGAAACGGCAGTTGATTCGTCAATTTAATATGTCATCCTTTATTTACAGATAAAACATTGGGAATGTGAAGAGAACGTTAAGGAATATCTTCATAGGTTTGTAATCACCAAGGGAAGTTTTATAATAATCAGGATTATCTTCCATCTCTTCTTTTTTACGCTGATTATAAATTGCTTCGTTATTTTCTCGCTCTTTGATATGCAGATTTGTTTTTTTTATGTTCGGAGTCCTGCTAAGTGAAGGTTAGTACACTTGAGGCACACACACTGTCTCTCTAACATGGAATCACAATCGATAGAGTCCTCTCCTAAATTAGGGGGGATACAGAGCGCTGCGGAGATAGTCAGATCGATATAGAAAACAATGACAGGCTTCGAACGAGTTCATCCAGATTGATTTAATCAATCGATTGATTGGAAATCTAATTATATATATCTGTGTCTCAGGTTTTTCTGCCACATCGGTCTTGGGAAATGTCTCCGACTAGCTGATTAAGAAGAGCAACCCAACAGGATGTCTGGTGAGTCAGATTTAGTTTTTGAAAAACACGATTTTTAAAATTTCAACACATATAAGAATGCATTTTGTTATCTACTTTCGGTGCAGAAGCACTAAATGTGCACGTGAGGGCGGTGGTTGAACGTCTGCTGCAGAGGGACATTCCTGACCAGATCGGAGAAGCATCGGGTGTGCACTTCCAACTTACTAGGTGACTTGCAAAATCGAATTTTGAACATGTCATGTTGTAAATTTTGAATTTACCAAGCGGCAGTAAATACAAAATTTACAACATGACACGTAAATTTTGTAGTAACCTCCTCCCCCTTAATTAAAAAATCAGTTATCTTTATATTCACCAGAAATTGTATCCAAATTACATTGATGAAATATATGGAGATAAGGAACAGTATTTAAGCTCAAATGTCCTTTAATTAAACAATACAAATTTGGAGCAGAGCAATCATGGGCCCCTTAAACATTAGAGGTGGGATCAGGTGCCATGGAGTAGTGAACACCCCCGCCAACCGGTCACGGCCGTGTGCTCCTTGTCATGATCGGAAAAATCCGACAACTTCATGTGTGTAAATAATGCTATATAAATAAACATGCGGTACATAAATTAAGTGTACGTATACCCAAGTTATACTTTCTAAATGCAACTTTTAAGGATGCGAACAACAAATCTACATTTACCGTCAGCGGCGTTGATACAAGACAACATCACCACAAGAGGAGGTGGGCTAAGCATGACGGGAAACTACCACTTTACATACGGCAGATTGTGAGCGTTCCGTGTTACTTTTTTGTGATAAACCCTTTTTATCTGCATTCGTAAACCTGCTTCCATATCCCTTTGCCTTAAAAAGTATGTTCCTTTTTCAGACTTTCTGGTGACGGAGATTTCGACGTCATTGTATCAGGTCTTTCATTGGTCATCAGTCTCCCACCACGTGAGTACCTCGTGATAAGAAAGCGAGCATAAAAAACTTAAAATTTTTTGTTTCCAATGTCAATGAGGAATATTTGACAAGCGTTCATTATATATATGTTTCAAACCTTAACCCTTCTTTACAGCACTATATTTCTTTCGATCATGTTGTAAACTGTCTTTCCAGGACATCGATATCAAAACATCCGCCATTCTAGGGCTTCCCCAGTCAACTCATCTCACGGGGAACCCCAGGGTCACCATACAGCTGACCATGACACTATCAATAGGTTTGTTCACCATGGTAACGTCGAGTGTACAGTGAGGAAGGTGAAGATTAAGTTCCGGGGAAAGTCGGCCCGACTCTGTGGATTTCTGACTAAGGTTTTCTCCAGATGGATTGTCTCACAACTGCAAGTCAGCGTAAGTAACCTAATGTATATGGCGTAGGAAGTTTATATTTTTCCGTGAATATGGAGACGGTCTTTCATACGAGACCGTATAAAATCAAAGTTCTGTGTCGTAGTCAATTGTTCAATTTTACATATTTTTCCCTTTTATCATATATTTAATTTCTAAACGTTTATTTTTCTTTGTAATTGATCTAACTTGAAACGTGAACTTTTTTCAAAAAAGCAACCGAACGGAGGAAATGTGGAAACTGAATGGATTATCATGTAACTATTACCTCAGATCGACTCTTATTTATGTTTAAAACCATCAATTCAGTACTTTTTTAATTATTGGTAAGATATATATGTATTTACAATGCAGTTGCTCATTGCTGCTCTAAACATGCTGAAATTCATTCGTACACGAGAGACATGAAAGACAGAGGAAATTCGAACAACTGAAAATTCGCCAGCGTCCCTTACTTACAAAAAACTTGTAAAATCAGTTCACTGCAAACAAATTATCAACCACAGAGATGTTTTCATAAGATTTAGACTGTTTAATTTGTATTTTGTATCCTACTTGTACGAGGTCTGGCTGAACCTCGTAGTTGGTCAACTTTGACTTGAAATTAAAAACTATTTGCACATGAAATCAAAATTCTAACAAATACTTTCTATAAAAACATTTATTATTAATCATTTCTGAGAACTTACATCATTGCAAGGTAATCCAATTTTTTGCAAAAGCACTTTTCACGATTTTTCACCGTTTTTTGATGTAACTGCGCATACGTGGACTCGTTTTTTGGAGTCTTTTCTGGACTGAAATTCTCACTTCCGTTAACGCCGTTTTTGGAGTTCGTCTAGACTGGTAGTAGCTGCTATTTGCTAAGATGAAAAAAAACCTCACTGCTCAAAAGGCTCTAAGTGTCGAGTGCATGTCTAAATGTGCAGCCCTCCACCGACAATTTAAGCGAGTGAAAAATTCGAAGGGACGTAGCACAAACAAATACATCTCTTTGATCAGTCTAGTCGAACCCTCAAACGGGGGTAAACGGAAGTAGGAAAACCGTACCCTCAAACGGGGGTACGCGCATGCGCAGACACTCAAAATAGTGCCGTTTTCACGGAAAAACGTGTGGTCCACAAAATATGCTCGTGCAAAGTGATGGATTATTTCGTAGCTCTGTATGTACTCAAATTTGATAGATTAAAGATGTTTAAAGAGATTGTATTGCGAAAAAGTATATTTTATTGCTAAAATCGAGACTTTTTCTCTCCCAAAGTTAGCGTATTCTGTGCCTTGATCTCCATGCTTGATACAACTCGATTTTTTATTCATAATTTAATAAAACGGATGAATAAACAAACAATGGTTCGTTTAAAGTTGAAATACATATATTTCCTTTCCCCGGTGCTAAAAATTTTGTGTAATTAACATGTTATTTCTTATTTTTCGACACTTTCTTGTGTGCCCGTCCGAATTTCCTCTGTCCTGTAAACAAATTTTGTGCTTCAGAAATAAGGAAAATAAAAACGAAAAAAAAAATTATTTTATATTTTAATTGAAAACAAAGGTGTAGACAATTCATTTTTGTATGTTTGTGATTTTTTAAAAAAATATTTATTTTTTAATTAAGAAGAGTTATCGTTCTTCCGCTTTCGAGCGTTGCATTAAGGGAAGGAAAACCCTCGTTTGAGGGTATACCCCCGTTTGAGGGTTCGACTAGACTGTTGATAACTAAGAAAGAAAAGACCTATTCATTTTAGTTTATGAAGAATCTTAGAATACGTTTTATGAAATAAATAGAATAGACCTTAAATCATAATCAGTGAAAGACTCATATTATTAGAAATCATTGTAATCGGAGCATAAATAAAATTTAGGCTTGATAGAGATATATTTTGTTTCCATTTATAGACAGCGGAATTTGTAAAGAGTTGGTTTCGCGAAGAACCAGACATGTCTGCTATTGCTCTTATGGGTAAGGATTATCTCCCTTTTTGCATTGATGGGTAAGGTTTATCTCCCTTTCTGCTTTGATGGTAAAGTTTATCTCCCTTTTTGCATTGATGGATAAGGTTTATCTCCCTTTCTGTCAGTTTGTCATACTTTATACCACATCGACCATAACCTCAAATTCACTCCTTTTTGCAGCTCTCTTTGCGATGAATGACGAAAATGCAGTAGGTAAGTAATAATTTCAAGCTATACGATTAAATATTTCCATTTCTAATTTTTTCTCTCTGTGAAAACTCTTTGAAAATTAGGGGAGTTTATTTCTTGATAATTCTGCCGGAATGTAAATTAGGCAGGTCGATAGGTCAGAACTAAGGAGACCTAATACGCATGCAAATCTCGTGCGCATCTGTCTCTGTGTCTGATGCTAAGGAGGCAAAATATACATGTAAATCTCGTGTGGCTTCCTTTGTGTTTGACGTCAGTGGGCGAGGACCTTTGAGATTGTCATGGAAGTCCTTGTGTAATTTAAATCTATTAGTTTACATTTTTAAAGTCTAAATCTACAATTTTATTTCACAATGAAATGGAAATATAAGGAATCACTGTCTAGTTAGTATAGTATGCCAGGGACATTGGGAAAATATGTATGCATAACGGGCGAAGCCCGTTATGCAAATTATATTTGTGATCTGGCATACTACATTAACTAGACAGTGATTCCTTAAATATGTACATCGTTATACCGGGTATTTGTGTCCATTGTTAATCATTATTTCCATTGCACTGTCTTGTTTTAGACGAAGAAGAGATGCATGGTGCTCTTTCACGACTTAGGTGCTGGAGGTTTCGCAGGAGAAGAGAATTACACTAGGTCATGTGATGTTCCACGGACGTCATGTGACAAGATCTTCACATTTGATTCTTCTATAAGCATTAAGGAAAATACCGAAGTCAATAAACTTTATTTTGTCATATTTTATTATTTATTTATTGATATACTCTAATTTTAGTATTTTTATAACAATATTTTTATTTGACAATATACTCGTTAGGAGAAAATAATAAAAGAACTGAATTAATAACTTTGTCTGTTTTCTAAATACTTATATCATTGTTAAATATTTGTCGATATAATGACCAACTGAGCATTCATCTGTGAAAGAAACTTTATCTGTTTGATTACATGTAATGCTCTTCAATGGATTCTATAGAATGTTCTTCAATGGATTCCTTACCAGGCAACAATCTGGGCTGCACAGTGGATACCTTTCGTAAATGTGGATCTTGTGGATGTACGATATTTTGGAAGAATATGAAAATTGCTGTCTTGGATGCTCTTCCTGATATTCCTAACTGTACGAGCAGCTTCCATGCCGATTGCGCTGGAACCCTCTGCAGCCATTCTCTATCGGAAATAGCCAAACGCTCCATCCTCTAAATGTTACAGTGGGTCATGAGGTCTGCATATCTCATGTGCCTTCTCACAATTCACAAGGTCAGCTCTATAACGACCAACGTCCTCGACTGCTGTGACATTAATACTGCGTCTGGTTGTAGGGGTTGGTTTTCACGACTTTAGGGAAAACTAACTTTCTGTCTAGATCCACTGACTCCGAGCTCATAGTCATGCCCTCTATCCAGCATTGATGTCAACCTTGCTGTTATTTTGTTGGCTGGGGCTTCACCTAGTCTCACAAACTGTACCTGTCTTTGTCTCATGTCGTATTTTTTTTTCTTCATGTGCCATGGTCTCTTACCATGCAGCATTTTGTTCGAATCTTCACTTAGTCTCCACTATTTCGAGTTTAAAAGGAAATGGGAGTGTGTCCTACACTTGCCTCAACAGGAACGAGATTTTAAACTGATTCTTCCTCCATAGTTCTGCACATGTTAATTCCTGCTCCGATAAGTTCCACATGTACATCATCCAGGCCCCCTGTTTTCCGCGTTCTGTTGATCTTCCACAGTGCACCATACTTCAGTCTGAACCATGCTGCGTCTCTCTGCTGCTGCTGCTTTTGACTACTTCTGAAAATGCTACATTCCCACACCCTGTCGCCCATTGAGTGAATTTTAATGATGTTTCGTAGGTATAACATACTCTCTGCTTGCCTCATTGATATTTTTCCATACCACTTTCTTCCTGTCCTTGCCTTGATCCCTACTCTTGCGATCCTGTCGTCTGATGTGTCCGCCACAGATGAAACTGGTTTGCCTAATTGAGTTGAGATGCTGTCGATGTTAATGATGGTGGAACTCCTAGCCATCTCCTTAGACGGCCACTCGCTTTCCTTTTCATGGGTTCGACTGTAGTAGTTGCGATTTCATTTATAAGGAGCAGCAGCACATTAGTCTTGGTAGATGGTAACTTATACCTTTTCCTTTCCCGTTAATCCGCTGCCATTAACCAGTTTAAGCCAGGAAAGGTGCTTCTTTGTGTCTTCCATGCTTGCAGCTATCTTTGTATGTGAGAGATTTATTTAACCATTTCCCCAAGCATGTAATTGGGTACTACCAGTATCCAATTATTGATGGGATTTCCTCTCCTTGCATTTGCTTTTTGACTAGTTTGATAACACACCCCTTCCTCAATACAAATTTAACCATCTGGATTTCTTTGGCTTGAACTTCATGCCTGCCAAGGAAACGCTATTTCCAATGTTGATAAAAGCCGGCTTGCCTGTACATTAGTGGTTATTGACACTCTTAGATCATCCTTATAGTCTCTGATTGGTTGCTGATAAATTTGGAGTACATCCTTGACCTATCCCTTTCTCTACTTTTTGCCAGGATGGGGTGTTGTCATCGACCGTAATCCTATCTGCATTTCTCCGAAGGAGCTCTTGACAATCCCCTACAATTGAACCTTGTTTGGTGTATGGTACAGCTCCATCGCCGACTTAATGAGCTTATGGAGCACAGTTCCATATGCGCTGATTATGTCTAATGTTTTTGGCTTCTCTGATGAGATTTATCACACATACGTCTTCTACGCATATGGAGTACTCTGGTGTGCCCGACTTCTGTTTGTACCTGATGTTCATCCTGTACCCTGATATCATCTTCGCTAGCTAGTACTGAAATGGACATTTTAACTCTCTTATTTAGAAAAGATAATATTCTAAACTGGTTGGTTGTTTTATAGTTCTCTTTCGGTACAAAACATCCACGATCGCCGGTGTTGCACAGAGGTAAATCGAGCGTCAGCTCTAGAATCGTGAAGTAAGGAGTTGATCTTTATGACGGGGTTTGAATCTCACTGTATATGTGGGACGTGGAGACTGGTCCTTCGGATATGAGACGGTATAAACCCAGGTTACGTGTTGCAGTAGGTGCTGGCATGAAAAAGAGTCCTCACTGCTCAATGGCTTTGAGAGCCAAGTATAGGTAAAAAATTTGCAGCTTTCCACCGCTAACTGGTGGCATCTCCATATGAGTAAAAAATTCTGGAGAGTTGCCACAATTTTCTTAGTAACGTTGGGCACCTTTTACACACTATATACTTTCCCGTTTAGCCCAGGAGCTTAGACTGATCTTGCTTTCTTGACCACTCTCTTCCTTTCATATATACTGGTAGGCTTCTTCACATCCAGCATAACGGTAACCTCTTATATCATTTGTACATTTAGCCATTTACACATTGATTTTTCTCTCAGCGGATCAGAGTGTGTTTCATGTAAATACCATTTGAATAGTGAAGTGTTCCTGACCTTTCTTCACTTAAAAACTCCTTTGAGTTCTTACCAAATCTTTCCCTGTTCTGCTTTTTTTTTCTTTCTCTGACTCAGTTGCTCCGCTCTCCGTAGCTGAAAGCCTTAACCTGACGTCTTCCGTGATATTTTTTTCCCAATTTAAGACCTTCGCTTTTTTTTAAAAACTTTTTTTTCAGATTAAGTTCTTGTCGACATTCTCAGATCCTTCGCTCCCGCCTATCTTTCTGCTCATTTCTCGACTTTCCTTACTCCATCCCAAGCCGCTCTTTCCCATTGTTATAACACCATCGGTCGGTAATTATCTCTTTCTTCCTCTCTACATTCCGTTGCACTGTTTTCTCAATGACAATTTGATCGAAGCTACTCCACACTAATATCGTCGTTTTCTTCCGGTCTTGATATTCTTAACCTTTTTCCCATTACTTTTGTTGCTTCTGTTAGCCCTGGTCAGCTGGAGGTTCCTCCATCATGTCGCCGTGGGTGTCTTAATTGGGACGATCCAAACACGGGGAGGTTGTATTCTGGGTTTTATCCTGGCTAGGATCCTCCTGCGTCTCACCAGTCCGTTCTGTGAGCTGTGTGTTGGTTGTCACAGTACCACATCGACCTTTTGCTTGGTGTGTATATCCTCAGCCCTCTAGACCTTGGATTATTTTGCAGACTTTACCGCACGCACATCTCTGACACTTCAGTCTTTCTTCCATCTAAGTAGAGCGCTCTCTCCATGGTCGGTTCAAGGCCGTGAGTTGGAATCTCGATTGCGACTGACCTTCACTCGAAGTAAAAGTTGTGGGTCCTTCGGATGAGACCCTAAAAATTCAGACCCCGTGTCACGGCAAGTATTGGCACGATTAAGATCCCTCATTGCTCAGTGGTCCTGAGTGCCGAGTTAAGGTCTAAAGAAGCCTTCACCGGTATATGGTGAAGTCTCTGTTTGAGTGAACTTCTCGAATGGGACATAAAACAAGATACAATCAATCAATCTTCCATCTAATGTTAGTTACACCACAACTTCGCTAGCCAAAGGTTTCTGATACGCTACTCTCCTCATGAACCCTTGGCATACGGTGAAGTCAAAAGACGGGATTGTTTTCGTCACGTGATTTCGAATCTATCAGGTACGCACAGCTAGATTGCGTCATCGACAGAAATAAAAACGCGTGTTTTAAAAAAAAATTAACACAAGGTTTTTTTTTCAAGAATAATTAAGAAGCCGTGATTGAGTTATGTTTATTTATTATTTATAGCACAAATCCGAAGCTTCAATATAGATTCTTAATCACATATTTTGAAGATTTTGGATGAAACCATAGCTATTAATAGAATTGCATGTTATCTTATGGATCGTTGTTTACTTGCATTTTTCATTTCCGAGATTAAAGAGTCAAGAAGTATCCCGAACGCAATTATCGTCATTTACAAAAAACAATTGCTGATTGGTCGACCGCGGGTGTACCGAATCCCGTATGCCAAGGGTTCATGAGGAGAGTAGCGTATCAGAAACCCTTGGCTAGCGAAGATGGTTACACCATTATTCTCACAGTCTATGGGCTGTTCCTTGTCGTTACTATTTGATCTGCTTTGGTGTATCGAAAAGAAAGAGAAAGCCTTCAACTCACGCAACCCCCCTATACATTATGGGTCTTTAAAATTAACTTCTCCTTGAACCAAGGGTGGATGTAGGTCGTAAATCTTTACTCTTGAACTTTGAACTTCTAGTAATTAAACCACCTGCTTGCATATGCTAATTACTAGTATTGGGTATTAAGCTAAAGAGGTTTTTTATATATATAAGACAAGACTAAAGCCTGGACTAATAGTGTTAAGGTGATCGTCTTCGTCTGAAAAGGACGGTGGACCTTCTTTAGATTATTGAGTAAATCATAATTTTTATTTTCAATTTAAAAAATGAGGATACCTAAAGTTACAAAGGAGATTATTCCAATTAGATATTTCACGGGTTCGAATCCCACTGTGGGACGTGAAGGCCGGTCCTTCGGATGAGACCACAGGTATAAACAGAGGCCCCGTGTCGCAGTAGCTGGCACGATAAAGATCCCTCACTGTTCAATGGCCCTGACTGCCGAGTATAGGACTTAATTTGCAGCTCTCCACCGGCCAGTGGTGACGTCTCCATATGGGTTAAAGGGGGCGTTAAACAACATACGATCAATCAATCCAATATTAGAACCCTGTACTAATAGCCCCCCCCCCCCCCTCCCTTAGTGTTTCAATCAAAATGATTTTACTACACGTGAACCCCCTTTTCCCCAAATATGATTCAGAAAACATTTTATGTATCCAACGACTATATTTTAAAACAATTTAGGTTTGTCTAATTAAAAGAAATAATTATGAAATGAA